AAGCTGCAGTGCATTTCCGGAGCTGGCCTTCACCATCCGAGTGTCTTTGTACCTGTAATGTTTGCTCAGACTAGATAGTTTTAAATAAAAAGTGGAGAATTAACTGTACAAAATAGTGGGATTCGTTTCTATTCTTACACAGCAAGAATTATTTTTGACAACATGAGGCAGATTAAAAACAATGTTGGTAATTATTCTGTATTGGCTTAGAAATCTGTGTGAGTTCATATGGCCGGACTTTAAATCCCAGAGCAGTGGCAGACCTTTATTCATAGATTGGTCTGATTTTCAGCATTTCTGCAGATCCCAATTGACAGCTGTTTGTTCCAACATCTTTGAAAATCAAGCTATAGGTATTTGAATTACACTGTTGAGGAGTAAATACATGTGAAAGTGATTGGTAAGATCCTTGGTCATGACTTCCAAGTGGTCACTATTAGCTTCATTTGGTTAATATTAATGAGGGTTTTCTTCTGAAAAACCTGCAGTAAATGAAAGAGCACCATCAGAATTTGCTCATTTTAATGAATTTTTTCTTGGAACAGAGCATATTTGGAAAGAGCAGTGTTTCCTGTGATGTTAATAATTGTGTTCAGGCTTCTATATTCTGTAAAAGCTTTGTGTTTTCAAAGCAGGTATTTAAGTGATCTTCAAGACATACTGTCCTGAGTGTTATTACTTGTTAATGTACCATTCTGGTATACAGGCATGTAAAATTACTTTAAAAACATGCAACAAGTGAAGGCTTTGTGTTGCAGGAATGCTGCACATGAGCTGCCAGCAGCCCTTCATAATAGAAATGCTCTGTAGGTAAACACACAGAAACACACATGCTTCCTCATCCCCCATTTCTGCATTTCATTTTGATTATTCAGGTTTTATTGATAGAGGTTGGACAGGTGCCTGTCAGAAACAATGCGGTGAATTGTTGAAGCCCCATTAGGGGCTTATTTTCTGTTGGTTTTATAGCATAATAGCACTAAGCATACTTTTTCGTGACTGTTCTTTAAAATGAACTTTCTGGGTACACATATTCTTTATTATTATAATAAAGTTAGAGAAGTTAAGCCTGCTTCCTAATAACAGGAATTTTCATTCTGTTCTTAATTCCAGTTTCTGGGTTTCATATGCGCCAAGCAGCTGCTAGTTGTTTGGCAAAATAACTTGCCCCCAGGTTGAAAGCTAAATACCTGAGACTGAGAAAATATGAAAAGAGAAACAAATAAAAGATTATAGTAAACAGGAAGAGGTATGTGTAAGTTTAAGTAAGAAATCAGAACAATTGTTTTAATGAACTGCTATACCCAATATTTTCAGTACATCAGAACCTGTGAACTCCAGCTTCATTTGGGGGGAATATCTGTCTTAAACTGCAGGGCTAAGAATGGCTGTAGTGTTTAGGTTTCTGCCACTTTTATGTAGAAAACCTACAGTAATGTCTGTGGAGAAAAGGATGTAATACATTTTGCAACTGTACTGATGATTAAACAGAAGAAAAGATAATGAGAGAAAAATGTGGAATAATTTCAGGGCCAGCATGAGTTGCTTGTTCTTACAGTTATTTTTAGAGAATATCTTAATAAAATATGTCTGTTGTCACTGTAAGGAAGTTTTATTGCCTGAAGGTTATCAATAAACTAACTTGCAGATACCATTTTAAGTTACTAGAAGCAAAACTGATTTTTTTTAGAAGTAGAGTTTTGGTGATTTATTGCATATGTTATTAAGACCTGAAAAATAAGTTTTGTTTCCATTTATTTTCCAAATATGGACTTTGTTGTAAAAGTACCAGGATGGAATTCTGCCTAAATTCAATCTTGATTTTAATGCTAATTTTCTTTTTTTTTCTTCTATAGTATTCTGGGAAATCTTATATTGCTAGTAATTTTTATTTTCTTTTTACTTACCATTAAAATCTCTTAAAAAAGTAGAAGAGAGTAAAAAAGCCATAGTATACTTTCATTGGAATACTGGTGTATTAGTATATCAAGTTACCTGTTTCAGCTCATTTCTAATTTTAAAAGAAAAAAAATAGGAAAAAAGAAAAAGTGTTAGAATGTATGCTTGTCTAAAGTAAATCTCAAGGTTTTATAATTGCATATGAATTTTGTCATTTACATGTGTAGTACTCATTACAGTGGTATATATGAGAGTTCAACCCAAACTCCTTCTAGTATGTGTCAGTACTTTGCAGTACTTAGAAATTTGAAATATGTCTAATATTGCAATACTTTCAGATCCACATGCTGTCCTCAGTTTCTAGTGAGTGACTGCTCAATATGTAGTATGTGAGAGAATGCAGCATCAGGTTGCAGATGACTTTGAATCTTTAATTTGAAATGGAAGGCAGAAGTGAATCAGGAGCGATACGCCCTTGTGAGTCATTGTTTTTTGGCAGGTAACTGTCAGACTAGGGCTGCATTTTTAATTTACTCTTTTTGGTTCATATTAATTTTTAATTGCAGTAATCATTCCTTGGTAGTGATGTAGATCAATGTAACTACATCTGCCAGAATGAGCTATAAGTCCTCGCTTGGAATCAACTTTTTTTGCTTACCAGGCAAGATTAAGTTTCCCCAATTCCTTACTGCAGTCTCACTGAAAGGTGATTTTCCCTATCGGTTACCTGAGGGATATGTTCCTATTCTGATTGCTTCAGTTCTTTTCAATGGCTGAGTATACACATTGTAAGTCTGTATTTTTTTCCTAACCTCATCTGCGTGCAGCAGAAGTAACACATTCAGGGCTTTAACACATCAAAACAAACAGTATTTGAATATGTTATGTGAAGCACAGAGTCTTTGGAGACAGCTAGTGCCCTGAAGTCTACTTTATACAAAAGAGATTAACACCATTATTCTATGTACAATGTCTCCAGCAAAATGCTGTCGCCTATTTCTGTCAACAAATGGTTTCTTTGCTTTGGCAGCAGAAAGAAATGTTGGTTGTGTAGGCAACAGAACATGCCTTTGTAAGTTACAGAACCCAATTTTAAAAATATTTTGGAAGGTAGCTGTAGTTTTGAGAAGTTATATTATTTTCATTAACTAAATATTTTTTTTCAACAAGCTAAGAAGACTAATCATGTCTGCTATGTGTGACACGCTCATAATCCGTGTGTAAGGCGGGTTCACTATTTTACAGTACACCTTTTGGAAAGGTGCGCATCCGACTGTTCCTTGCAGACACTCATCTGATTAAAAGGTCTGCACGTATCCTACCCAGATAACGCACTTTCTAAGAGTGCATTTTCTTTCTGAATAAAGGTGGAGATGAGCAGGGTTCTTAGTGAGAGTGTAAGGATCCATAAACCAGTTGTATACCAAAGAAAAGATGATGAAGATGCTCAAGTAAAGGTTTAATATTTCTAGAAGCCTCAGACCAGATGAATTCTGGAAAATTTGCAGGGAGGAAGAAAAAGAATAGATACTACAGCATTTCACAGCATAATGAATTACAGAGCCATACTTTTAGTTGAAGTGAGTTGTAAAAGTCATAGGCAACATGTGAAAGATTTATTTTATGTTAATAAATTTTTCAAGTTATTGAATTACATTGTTAGTTATTATATTTTAAATAATGTCTTATTGTTTTCCCCAACAAATTGTTGAGACAAAAAAAAGCTAAGAAATAAGTACTTTAATAAATATTGGATTGTGTTTGATTTTCTGGTTTATGGCAAAAGATAAGAAAAAAATTTGCCAAATTTCAAATTTAGTAGCTAAATCGGAGCTTCAGCTAATCTCAGTTTCTTTACCTGGATGAAAGATTTACATCGTTGTTCACAGCTGCTGTTTGTAGCGGGTCAGATACCTTGTGGGAGCAGGACACTTCACTCCTTGATCACACGGCTGGGCATGTATGTGTCCTGTGAGGGTGCCCGTGCCTCTGACATTTGGTGTACACAGGCTGTGCAAACAGTTTCTTGTCATTTAACTCGGCACATGTGTGCTCGCATCATCATAGGACTGGATGTGATTTGTGCCATGTTGGTGGATAGCTGTATTTGATTTATGTGTGAGGAAGGATGGGAACAAGAAACAACCCATTAATCACAAAAAACAGTCGTGAAGCCATCAGCTTATTTCTTGCGCACATCTAAGGACTGATAGGGAAAAACTCCATGAAAATTGTCCTGGTAACAGCTTTAATGATCTTTTCCTACATTAATTTTTATTTTGGTAGTTTACACTTTGTAATTACAAAGCACAGATTATTGAAACAAATTATTAATGTTAATCAATAAGTCAGCATACAAGAATACCAAGAATCAAGGCTCTCCTTGTATACTAAATGAAAAGATTTCTTTCAGATTCTTGCTTTGATCATTAGGCTCTTTCAAGTAAGCAAACATTACTTAGTTGCTAAGCCACAGACTGAAGTTCATTAGTGTGTTAGCACAAATATCGGAAAAAGAGTACTAAACCAATATTAGATAGAGGACCTGTGCGTAGGCTGGAAGTAATGCAATGAACATGACACCAGAACATTTTGAACGATCGCTCAGAGAGATTAAAACAATTTCTGCTTGCAAAAACACACCCCACTCAGCAAGAAAAAGTGCAAACCCTGAGGAAATCTGTTTTTCTGCTACTGATATCTATAGGACTTTACTGAAAGTACAGTAGATTTAATAGTCTTATGAATAATTTTGTGCATATTACTTATTTTAGATGTTGGCCAGATGTACTGATGTGTTGGGTTTTTTTTTTTGTCTAATGGTGATCCTTAAAGCTGGTTTTCATTAGAATGCTCCTAGCCAGAGACTGAAAGCCAGAATGCCACTTACTTAAATAGCCTGTTTGGGAACTCAACTCAAAATCTTCACAAATCAGTTTTGGATTAATAGATATTTCAGGTTTAATGCATAAATGTGGTGGTTTAACACAGACCCTTTTGCAAAGGCTGTTGAAATTAGAAGTCACACTGGAATTTTTTGATGTTCAGTTCATTATCTTCAGCAAATGAACTAACACTTCATGCTTTTGCATTCTTCACAGATCTTCAATACAGTGAGAGAAGAAGAAGGAGCAGAAGACATTTTTGAATATTTTCCTCATCTTTTGCGAAAACTCCCAACATTTGATACAGACTGTATATGCAACGGTGACTGGGTTTGTGTAAAACCATGTGTAACAGGTGCTTACTGTCACTATCGTGCCACTTTACAGAGGACTGCGCTCTCTGACTATATAACCGGTGCTTTACTAGAAGCAACTACATCACTAGGAGCAAGAAGTGGTCTTTTAAATATCTTTGGAGGATCAACGGGAAGAACAATGCTTAAAGGTAATGGAGACTTAATTTTTTTAAACCCCGTCCACTTCAAGTATAGGGTGTACTAAAAAATATATAATAGTACATAATATTCTGTAGTTTATGTACTCATATTTGAAGTCAACAGGTAAAGGTTATGATGTATTCAAATATTTTCATATGTAATCATTATGTGTCCTAATGATTAGCTATGTTACTTCAATAAAGTAAAAATGCATGCAAAACTGAAAAGATTCTTATTACAAAACAGAGATCTTTTCGGGTTTTTTTTCTTTTTAGAAGCATTCCTGTCTGCATCCAAAGTTAATGCCTAAGCCATTGCTGTTAGGGTATTCCTTTGCATAATATTTTTCATTTACCAAGTGTTGCTGCTCATGGGCTGACTTGGTTCAGGACATGAGAAGGGAGTTTATATTCTACTTGGTTGTTATTGTTGTCATTGTACAACTAGCTGTCAGCAGAGCACTGCGTAGTAAGTATGTACCATTCATTACTGATTTATTGTTGGTCTGTTCCCAGATCCATCATCTTTCTACTGGATCATTTCAAATGACATGGGTATTGTTTATGTTGAAAATGCCTGTTGGAGGATGGCTGTTATATAATAACTTTCCGTGCTGATCATTATTATATGCAATAAGAATGCCATTATGTGATTTAGTTTGGTCAGTTTTGGAAGTTAAATAGGACAAAGGCATTCTTCGTACAAATTCACTGCATTTAAACAGGGTTTTGTACAGAATAGTAACTACTTGTTAAATTCAGTTTTTATGAAAATGCCTAGAGTATTTCCTATGGTACTCAAGCTTTTGCAGATTTATCATCGTCTGATATACTGTAACAAGAGGATGTAGTATCTCAGTTGTAGAATTGAAGCATGTGAATATTATGGTTTGCCCAAAATTTTGCAGGAATATGACAAAATCAGTACAGAATTCACATTGCATGTTCCTTAACTAGTGCAGCTAAAGACCTCCTACTTTTAAAGACAAATAATGGAGTAGTTTCTGCTTGGATCAGGTTGTCTTATTTTCATCCCCAAAAGTAGCTTTTTAAGTTTTAATTACTCTCTCTTCAGGTGTATCAAATGGCAGAGAGAGGCATTAAAATCTTGTAAGAACAGGTACAGATGACAAACTGTAGCATCTGAGTATATCTCAGTAATACGTTGAGTGACATCACTAAGCTTCACATATCCTCATCATCTGTGAGAAACAGAGATATGTACAGTACAGTGTCCTATTTTGATAGGGTTTTTCCTTTTATTTTGTTTGTTTTTTAATTGTTCTGGGGAGATGAGTACTTTAGAAAAATAAACAGGTACATTCCTGCGACAGCTCTGGAAAGCAAAGTTAAAAGAACTGAGTTGTGTACTTGTTGGTGCAGTGTGATGGACCTTCTTCCTACAGGGTGGGAGAAGAGAGCACAGGATTTTGATGCTCCAGACTTGATTGAGCAAGGATGCTCTGTCAACTGAGTACAAATGTCAGCCTCCCATGGGGCGTGTTCCTGCAGTGCCTGCAAAAGCCCATCTGATGACTGCCACTGTAGAGCTGCAGGCTCTTGAGTTCTGAAACTGGAAGCAGCAGCAGCAGTAATTACTAGCTCAGGCTCACTGACATGCTAATATGGCTGTATCTTTTTATGGAGCCTGAGCTAGTGACTACACATGTGTTCTGTGTACCAGCACACTTGGCACTAGTTTGTTCCACTTCTATTGGATTCTGATCTCAAGAATGTGAGATCTTAAAGAAATGGCCAAGATCTTGAAATTGATTTGCAATTCCATAGTCAACCTGTGTAGATAGTAGAGATTTGATTTAGTGTAGTGGTCTAGGTATGATTTACTGTAGTGGTCTCTGTTGAGGAAGAGATGTGCTGCAGCTTTATGATATTGAAGTTTTCTGGATATGGAAGGTTCATGTTCAGGTATAACTCTTCCTTTTCTCTTATCATAATAGTAAAAAAAAATCTAGTTTGTGCACCTTGGTTGATCACTAGTACAACAGTATGAGGGAGAATGAGGTTTTTTCTGGTAAGAAAATCACAAGCCATTTAGAAACTTACAGCTGAGACCAGTAACTTAAGTTCAATCTGAAAGCAGTAGAAAGCTGATGCACAAGGGATGTAGAGTGGGTGAAGTACTGAATTCCACATTTTGTTATTTCTGAATTGCTGTACGGGGCACCACATGTACAGATTGCAGTATATCCAATCTTGTGCCAAAGATATGTAATATGATAGCAGGATCCATGTCAAGTAGGTGTATATCATCCGTGATGTAAACCCATTCCTTAATTTTGCTACAAGTTAAGCTTCGGTACAGACAGGAAGCTGTGGACACAACTTGGCAGTTGTCAACTCTAGGCAGAGTAATTGTTACTGCACTTGGAATCAGTTTCAAGACCATTCTTAAAAAGCTTCAAAAGTGGAAGTGAATTTGTTTATTAAAACCAGTCTGTATCAGCCAGTCTTGAAAAGATCTTAAGGGCTGTTGGATTTATGTTTGGAGAACCTCTTCTGGACCAGACAACATTCCACTACTTTCAAAATGTTTGCAATTTCTGGAGATAAAGTTCAGCACTCTCTCGCACAGTCTGTTTAAAGAGGAGTCCATTATTTTAACGGGGAGTGTCCTTCAGGATTTAAAAGGAAGACTTCTCAAAATCTTTATACGCTTTGTAGTTAGGGATTTTACATAATATCTGCTCCGGAAATAGTGATCCTGCAGAGAGTCCCTAATGCTGGCATAGCCTTCTGGTTTCATGTCTCCCTAGCACTAAGCACATGGCGAAATTCTTCCTGCTCAGTGCTTCAGAAGTTATTTAGTGACCTATGTAATGAACCATACAGTCACAAGTGGTCTAACTCCAGGAAATACTGTTCTAAGGTTTTGTTCAGTAGCTAAGGACCCTGAATGCTCTGAGTCCCCAGGGCTATGATGGTCTTGCGGGCAAATCAGCTGCCAGTGTTGTTAGTTCAGAGAAGGCTTCCAAACATACCAGACCTCAGAAGCCAGAATTCCCAGTCACGTGGATCTGGGACTGAGTCTTTAAAAACCGATGTAGGGCCTGCTCTGTAGGAGACTCATCTCTTGGGTCTAGAGCAGTGAACCTGCAAGGCCTGCGCTCGGATGGCTCTCAGAGCTGTCAGGCTCCCGACTGAGGAGCTGTGACTCCAGTCCTGGTAGCACAGAGACAGTCTGAGAATGACTCCCGGGAACCACAGATGCCTGGAGTTCCCACAGCTGGTCAGTGACATTCACATCCTTGTCAGCATCTTTGTTACTACAGAGGACATAATTTTCACGTATGAACACAGCACACAAATTTCAGTTGCACTGTTTTAGCGCCTCTGTATGTAACTCAGAATTTCTGGTTATTAAGAAGGTTTAAGAGTGTCTTTCAACAGGATTTGATTTGGATTGAAACCAGACTTCTTCCCATAGAAAGGAAAACCTGCTTCTCAGCCTGTTCTGTTTCTTGCAAATTGATTGTTACAGAAGTTTGTTCATAGTTGTGAATGGGCCAGAACTTTCTCTGGAATCATAGTTGAAGACTCCGTTATTGTCACAGTTCATGTGGTGTTGACATTTTTATGCAGAAGGTGAAAAAATGTTTGGGGTCTGTTTTAATCTTAAAGAAGGAACTAGAGTATGTGAAAATGTTTGTGCTTTCTATTTGACATCTGTATCCAGTGTTATTGTTGGAAAGAAACTTGTACCCTTCCTTTCCTGCCCCTTGCCTTATCCCCTTTTAGGGGGTAACTTCTGTAGTTTTGTACTCTAAGGAAAACAAAAGGGAAGTAAGAAGAGGTGTCTGAGGGTGGAGCAGACTGCAAACATTTTGTATCAATATTCTTTTCACTTTAGCATCTTTCAAAGCTGATCAAGTCTGATGCTGCTTTCTTAATTGATATAAATCAGACTACATCCTTGATCACTGTTGTTCATTTTCCAAAAGAAGCTCACTCAGAACTTATTAAATAGACAACAGCAATTTTGGATGAAGAACAGAAGGAAATTGATTTGTCGTGAACATGGAGGCAGGCTGTATTGATCTTAAGAAAACTTACTTCATTCATCTCCCAGGTTTCAGAGATCATCCTTTTTCTGTAATTAGACTTCACCATCAGCAAAGATTGGGCAGCAAACAGGCCCTGAGTCTTTGTGGCTTTTCCCACTTCTGTGTCTTGTACCCTCTGCACAAGGCTTATTGTTACGATATTGGGGAAATTCCAGGATCCCTGAAGTTGAGACAGTTGTCTGACAGCTATATGTCAGAGTTATGGGTGATAACAGGCTTTACACACACAAATATAGGAAGGCCAGCATGATTTAGCTGGTCTGTGTTTGGGCCCAAAGGTTAAGACCATCTAAAGTGAGGGATAAAGGCCAAATGAGCTGATATTAAGACCTGAAGAGAGAAACCGTGTCTCAACCTGAGAATCTAAAGTAAGAAGATGTGTCAGGCAACACAGGAGAGGAAGTCAAGTCCAGGAGATAAATTAGACAGTAAGTTGACAATTTGTCCTGGAGCAAGGGTGTGAATCATGAAACCAAGGATTTCATGCTCCTCTGTTGGCTCCAGAATGTAACTCAGGAAGACCCAGAACAAGTGCAGGTCACCTGGTTAGGGACAAAATTAAGAGTGACATGGCAGAATGGAGAAAGATTTGGGAGGATGCTCTAGCCAAGGGACACCTGTAACTGTCTGGAGCTGATGGTGGTGGTTATCTCTGTAAACTGACAGAAGGGAAAGATCACTGCACTCAGTCTCCTGGACCTGTCATCATCTGGTCAGGCCTGGTTGCAGCCGGGTTGGTCACAGCAAGAGCAGTAGGAGAAGGACTTAAAGGAGGATCCTTGCCACCATTAATTTAACAAAATCTTCCTTTAATCCAACATGTTTAATACATTGTAAGCACAAAGAATTTAGCTCTGCCAGCATAGCCAGTCCTCTTTCTGGGTTTAGAAAGGTATATTACTGCAAGATGAACAGATACGTAATTGA